TTTGTAATTGACTAATCTGCATTACAATGCAAGTTTCATTGGAACAATGCAGTAAAACAATGTCAATCTGTAACTGCTGCTGTCAGGCTCGTCATTTTGGTCTTAAAATGTTTGTATTCAGGAATATCACGAAGGGCATCTGGCATAAAAACTTAACTTTAGTGCAACTGAGTCACTATGGCAACCCTGTAAATAAACATTTTGTCTAGATAAATAATTATATAATTGAGGTTAATATCATCTGTCACAATGAACTGTTTCACATTCTCACTTTGTCCTTGACTCATTGAGAACCTTGTCAGAACATTTCATTCCAAAAATAAAAAGCTAAAATTGCGTATTTATTATAGCGCTCCTTCTTTGACCTCAGCCTGTCTAACCTGTCATTGGCAAAGTGACCACCAGGGAGCAGCGGTGAATAGGAGAAGGCAGGTGTTATCAAATGTAGGGTTGGATTTAGCGTTGGAGGGTGTGCGTGGGATGCCAGAGGAAAGCGAGAATTGAATGGAGAGAGTGAGATGAGCGTGAATTAGTTTGTGCGCTTCTTCAGACAGGGCAGCACTGCATTCACACATCAGGCATGAGATCATCCTTTACCCTGCTGTATCTCTGTGTTGTTCAGGAGAGAGGGAGAGGAAGGATGAAGAGGAGGAGGCGGGGCGAAGAGGCTGACGGAGGAAGGAGATTACATCAGTCAGAATGGAACTTAGACTCAGTGTTCAGCAGAGAAGAGAGTTATCTATAGCATAAAGGGAAAAGTTGCACATGGAAACAAAGATAAATGCAGCTATGGCCCTTAAGCAAGGGGAAAACCAATACATATTCTTTTGACTGGATGCTTCATTATGGGCTTTATTTATTAACCTTTATTATTCACTTACAATCACCAGGGGCCTATTCTGAGTCACTATCTCAAATTAAACTTGCATTTTGGAAGGCTGGGCAACATCATGTTTTGAGAGTTATATGGGTATATTTCGGAAGGCAATTTTAATATTACATTATAATTTGAAAACACAAAAAAGACAGGAGTGAGAACAATAGTGCTTTATAACAATAACTTGAATTGACAAAAAGAACTTAATACTAATAGAGTGATGCTGATTGTTTTGAACAGTTGAGAGTGTCAAAGCAAGTCACTTTACTGTCGATAGAAACAGCTGACTGGAGGTGTGCTAGCTTTGTTAGCTCGCTACTTTGCAGTCTCTGCGTTGCAGTCTTTGCGCTCTGAAGATTGTAAGATTTAAAATTTCATATGATTCTCCTCATGTCTGTGGCCTGCTCTTGTTGTCTAAGACTCTAAATCCTGTAGAGTGTGGTGGGCTTAATACACAGTTTAGTCATCACTCTTAGATTTAGTCATCGCTCTTATTATCATCTGGCACAAGAAATAATAAAAAAAAAAACACACACACAAATGTCACTGAACTGATTGCAATGGGTCGATTGTATAGAGAAATGTAGTTTTGTGTGAAGCTAAAAATTTAGATTAGTTGTAGTTTTATTTACAAATACTATTCCACAAGTGTGGAAAAATATGGCATAGTCTAAATGTAACATGAAAAGCACATCTGCTCGTTTGCTTTGCACCTGTTTAAAGCACCAACACAACCTGCTCTTTCTAAATGCTGGACACTCTTTCCTCTGGTCACTTTAAACCTGGTCCACAGCTGTTTCCTCGGGTGAGTTTCCCATTGGACCAAACCACAACAGCTCACAACACAGCACCTGGCAGCCCCAAGCTTCCATCAGGCCTTTAATACATGAGCCTTTCAACTTTATCTGACCTCCAGTCCACATCCTATCTGCTTCTAAACTCTGCAAACTTCAGTTGTTGAAAGTAAAGTTTTTGTTGTGATTTTAGGAACATATATTTTTGTTAGCATCAGGTTCATAAGTCATACAGATAAACTAAATTCATAAAGATAAACAAGAGTGATTTGTCAGGTTACTTACAGTGTTAACTTCAACTACAGTATACTTCTAATTTAGACAGATATGTAGTGTGGTTTGGAGCATAGTTCAGACTTTGGGGAAAGCAATTTGACATTTTTTTGTGGTTTATGTTTTCAAAAAGACAAAATAAAACTTAATTGAAAATAGTCATTGATCAATATTGGACAAGAATCTTCTTTTGTCATACCACCCAGCCCTCGGAAGAATATTCAAAGTATAAGATGTAAACAGAGCATTGCTCCTTAACACCCTTCTTAAAGAGCTACTGCAGGCCTTTATTCATCACTCCTGACAATGGTGGTGAACTACATACAGTTGTGCTCTGCAACTTCAGTATGTTCTTATGTAAGTATACTCATTTTTGCAGAAGCTGAGGCTTTGCACCATTAGGGATTGTATATTTTAAATATAGTCAGCCCGAGAAACAGTGACGTAAGGCAAGAGTTCACCCTGGAACAAGCTCTCCACTCCTCCCTGTGATATTGACTTTAAAGGGAATCTGAAATGTTGGAGGAGTTGTAGAAACACAGAGAGGAACGATGAAAGAAAACGATTTGAATTTGGAGGTGACCTTTTTGGTTTTGTCAGTGGGTCGAAAGACAGTCACCCACCTGCGAGCAACATCACGATAATGTTTTGATAAAATAATATGACACAGTAGGGGAGAGTTAGCCTCAGCAACTGCAGCTCTCGGGGAGAAAAACTGATTTTGAAATGTGTGGATTTGAAGCAGCATGCTCTCAGTCCCAGTGGGAGCAGTGCAACCACAGCAGAGGCACAGCACAACCTAGTGGCCAGAGAAAGAATTAACTCATAATCCGCCTTGTACTTCAGTAGATGTTGGTGGAGTAGAAATAAGCATACTCAATAACATAATGAATTAAGTTTAAACTGAAGACTGTAAAGTCACATAGTCATTCCTTACTACTGTCTGTTTAAACTACTGGCCGGTAGTGCACTAAAGATTCACTACGTAACTTTTCAGGGAGAAAGGTCTAACACTTTCTTCAGAGAAATGTTATTGGAATTGTCTTTCAATTAAAAGCATTTTATAACATTAAAAATATCTTGAACAACATGCATTCTTAATGTTAGAAGGCTCGCATCTCCACAGATCTGACCTGTGACTTGGACTGAGGGCATCACCTGCTTGTCTTCATAAATATACGTTAACATACAACATTTAATGCCTTATAGTGGAACATTCTGGGAAAGGCAAAAACATCTCCAAATCTCCAAGGAGACAAGCAAATGGTAACCAGGCTGGTGCCACCTAATGCCTCCGCTCAATTTCATTTCTGTCCAGCAAGTATGTCAGGAATAGGAATACACTAGATGGTTTGCAAGAACCCTGGAAGTGTGAGTCCAGGCACCAGCCAATCAGTGAAGGGCCATACATTCTGTGTTGGCAACGATTCCCGAGATCAAGGATTTAAAGCCGGAACAAAGAGAATGTTTGGTGAATTTTATCAAGGGGAAAGACGTTGTTGCCCTTCTTCCTACGGGGTTTGGGAAAAGCTTAATATACCAGTTAGCCCTGTTAGCGGTGCATTACATACGTCACAGCCAAATAGCAGAGATTGGTTAAATTTAAAAAAGTACCCATTTACCATTGAGCAAACAAATTCAAACACTGCAAGGTCAGACGGTTTCCACAAAGTGAAATCGGCTGATGAATCAGGCTAAGCAAATGGTGTATCCTCCACTAAAAAGTTACATAGTGCTGCTTTAAATTATGCATGTAAAGTAGTAAGCCATTTACTTCCTCCTACTTGGACAGGCTGAGCTTGGACTCTTTTTATGGACAAACTTTTTTTTAAGGAAATGTAAAATGTTGTAGATATCTCTCATCAGACAGCGCTCATGAAAGTTGCAGAAGTGTCATTAATTTTCTATGCACTCTTATGTGCTAATGGGTCACAGTGGAGCAGCCGCAAACAGGAGACGAGAAACCAACAATAAAAACCAGTCTCTGTGGTCTTCTCTGGGCAACTGTTCATTTCACTTTATTGGGATCTAAAAGTGCCCCAGACACATTTGTGAAAAAATAACAACTTTGTTTCTGTTAATATTTAAAGAGATAGACACTTAAATGTGAGCTTTACAGAGAAATCTAATTAAGCCGGTTTGATAAAGAGGGCATTTAGCGGGCTACCTTAATAATAAGAAATGGGTACGGTATAATCATCTATCAGTCCTTATCCTCAGCATCTTTTTAATTCACTTGCTTCATCTCTTGTAGTGAAAAAAATCCTCCATCCATAAATCTCCTATTTGGTGTGCTTCCTCGTCTCCTGCTTGGCAACCCTGTAATCTGAGTATGTGGTATGAATGCAAGTCATCATTTCTAATGTTAGCCTCAAATATCTACCACATGTTGTTCCATTCAAGTACTTAAATTTCATACTTCCAACTCTATCTCTCTGACTCCTGTTTTTTTCCACTGTTTAATTGTCTCTCAACTACACAACATTTCTGGATTGCATAATTGTAGCCATAGACAGCTCATCTGTGCGAATATTCATCATATTGTGGGGACTATAATCTGTACACACTCAGATCATGGGGACCTAAACTAGTTCATGGAAACCCAACATATACTGTATGTGCTGTGCATAGAGCGCTGTGTGTTGATGTGGAGGTTGTGGGGAGAGGATGATTGGTCTGTTGGGTTTTAGGTATTGTTTTTAATGTGTGACGTGTAAAACATGTTGTATTACAGTCATTGTATGAAAAGCAGTTTAAAAATACATATTGAACGATCTTCTTTTGAGAGTTTAATGTTCATTGGGAAAAGCCTGTCACTCCATTGGAGCATAATGAAGGCTGACCAATGAATGGGTTTAAGAGTAATGAAAAACTAGGACCATTGACATAGCTATTAACAATTTACCAACCAAATGTCTCAATCATGTCTTTTGAGAAGGAAAAAAGTAAAAAAAATAAATAAATAAATGTATAGTACATTTTCCCAGCCTTTGCCATAAAAATAAAATGTATTTCATTTTATAAAGTCTTACATAATGTCTGAGTTTGTATGGTACCTGTCTGATGGGCTCTGGCACCCTGTAGCGGCAGCAGCAGTGGGTGAGCCTCACTGCTGTGTCCAGGCTGATCTTGTGTCCGATGGAAACATACACAGGCTTGGAGCTCTTCTCACTGCTGCGTAATGCCTTCAGGAAACAGAGTGGACATAGTGTGCAGTCAGCAGCCTCACCCCCGGTCTTTAATATGTACCTTTGATTTGTTGTCCTTTGTTTTACCTTTCCAAGCACTTTGCCCGAGGAGGCTGTGAGGGGGAAGCTGTCTCCTCCTTTTTGCAGAGCAGCGATCTGAACAAGCAGAAAAGAAAAATATCAAAGTCAACCAAGGCAAAAACTCAAATCTACTGGCACTCACAGGCCACTTCAGAGGCCTATATTCTTGTCATTTATGTTTGTGCTCTATGTTTCTTAATTCAGTCATCAGAAACATCAAGATTTTTGTGATAATTAAACACAAACAATTGACTAGATTGCAATAAATCCTAATACACTAATATAGTCCACCTAGTACTAAAAGAATAAACAGAGACAGTCATTAAAAACTTGTAATGTAAAAACTAGCATTCTTTGTCTTGATGCAAGTAATTAAAGGTATCACGATATCAGTTGTTAGAGTTGCGATTAATGCGGGAAGAAGAAATATCACAATTTTACAATTATACACCAACAGTGGACACCAATAACCAAACACTGGATCATTTTTCATTTACTTTAATCAACATTGTGTAATACCTCTAGTACTATGTTATCAACTTTGTGAAATCAAACTTTCTGAATGGTTGGTTGAATGAAAGTTAATAAAACAACCAAGTAATAAAGCAGTTAAAAATTAGGTGATCATTTTGGGTACAGACTGCATAGAAGTGGGTATTTTTTTGCTTATATGAGAAATTACAATTACTGATTAAACAAATAATCTTGACATCCCTTTAAAACTAATGAAGTCATGTACTGTATTTTGGGGATGACTAAGCCCCATGCCTCAGACAGGATACAGTAAACATAGGAATTAATAACAAAGCATCTTTATACTACAATACAATTACCGGTAGTGTTAAAATGTTTTGGTAAGTGCTTCCAATAATTCTACTCTAAGCCTATATAGTACATTGTAGTTGTGTTATAAATATTTGGGATGGAGAAGAAAAAACAAGCAAGTCAAGGAATTTGCAGACTAATGATATAACAAGACAAACAAAATGTAATTAACATGCATTGCACCAAATGAGATTTACACCTTAATTAAGTTTACAAGGCCCTGAACTAAACAAATGAGATAATTGTTGATAGAGTTTAAAGAGCAAATGAAGGCCGTGAATCCCCCCTAAACAAACTGTGACCAGGAGGTGATTATAAACAGCAGCTTCTTGTTTGTCTCAATCAATCTGAGAGAAACAACAGTCCCTCTGCAATCATCCGCCAGCCGCACCCCGAACTCAGTTAAGACCCTTTCAAGCCAAACATTGATTTCTCCATTTGTAATGTTATGTTTGTGAAAAGTAGCAGTGGTCCTGTCAGGGCAAAGCAACAAGGAATATACAACTAAGGAATATAGCTGATGTAAACCAGGCCTTGACACAACATTATGCCATGATAACAAATTCTGACGTGCGATATATTGTTTATACTGTATATTTATATTAATATTGAAACCAAACCATGAAGAATTATCAAAGCTATTCTAAATGTACAGTACTGTATGCAACAATTTAATAATTAGTTTGTGATTTTAGTTCATAATTCAACCTTCTACAGCTAAAATGGTATCATATTGCAAAAAAGAAATACATTGACCATCAAAAAGTATTGTTCCATATATACTGAACAATAAATCAATATAGTATTTATTAGGCCTACTCTATATGCCTAATTGCAGATTAGAATGACAAATAAAAAATAAACATTTGGCTAAATCTAGATTATTTGACTGTTAAAAGATATCTCTGTCTTTCATCAAAATGTAATTTCTTCTTTCAAGCTTTACTACCTGCCATAGGGGTAAAAACTGTGCTTACCAAAATAATATAGATATAGTTCCCAATAGTCTTATACTGAGACTATCGTGGTACAAGCAATTCATATTTGTATAATTTTATTTAGATTGCAGAGTTATTTCTTTATGTTTATAATACGAAAAATTTGTATTATCATTTTTTTTCTTCAGCTCATACTCTCATCTATTATTGGAAAATAGAGACCCAATAGTCATAAATCATAAATTAGTCAAAAGTTTAGACAAATCTTTAGGATAAAAGTTATTTCAACTCATGTCAATATTCACTTTGCTCGTTTAAGACAGGGATAAACAAGGATTAAACAGGACTAAGCAGTAATTAGCATTTCACAACTATATCAAACTTTTAATTCACTTAAAGTCCAAACTTCTGATTCCCTAGAAGATAACCAATCCATCCACACATTTTTAATCCACTTCTTCACTGTATTTTTTGCCATAATCCTGTTAAGTTTTGATAAAGACAATACAAAGTCAGTGACGCTGTGACTGGTGCATTGTGGGTTATGGGGCAGAGCGGTGAAGAGAAGCTTAGCGGCGATGATGAATGGCTTGTCTGCTCCTCTGTGACGGATTAGAGCTAAGAGCAGGGGAGACACGGAGGGAGACAGGAGGAGAAGTCCTAAAGAGTGGCTGAAGTACAGCCCAGAAGGACAAAAAAGTTGGGATGATGTACAGTTTAAATCAAGAAATGGACTATGAACAATCTGAATATTTTTTCATGGGTAATAAAACTTTGTATACTGGGTAACCATCCATGAGGAGCACAGAAAGGAGGACAAGTCAGTACCAAACTGGGTCTAAAGCAGGACTAAATCAAGACAAAATTAGGACTAAACCAAGACTTAACCTGCACTAAACCACTAAACCATATCTAAACAAAGACTACACCAGGACTAAACCAGGACTAAACCAAGACTAAACTAGGACTAAATCAAAACTAAGCCAGGACTAAAACAAAACTAAACCAAGACTAAACCATAACAAAACCAAGACTAAACTAGGACTAAACCAAGACTAAACCATAACAAAACCAAGACTAAACTAGGACTAAACCAAGACTAAACTTGTAGTCAAATCGTGTTTATGTATGTCAACAATAAAAAATCTTAATGCTTCATGTATGGCATTAAATGATCAAGTATTAATTATTTTAATTACAAGTGGTTTTATTACCACAAAGTACATTGAAAAACATGCATTCTTGCTGTCAGTGGGGTCACCTCTCCTCAGATAAGATGACCTGTAACTTGGCCTAATGGCATTATTTGTCTCCATGGAGATAGATAAGCTTAATACCCTATTGTGGAGTGTACCCTTAACACTTGTCTATCCAAATAATCAAGTATCTTATTACTGCTTAACTGCTTCACAAGAAAACTACAGATGCTGGATTGAACAGCATTTACAGACAAATATCTTGAGAACTTGCATTGCCAAAAAAATTATTTATTTGCATTTTACACTTCGTCCTAACCTGCAGAGTTGAGTTAAAATATAGCAGTTTGGCTGGTGTGAAGGAAAGAGTAGGACCAGAGCCAAAACAGCAGAAGAGAAAATGACAGAGCAGGTCGTCAATAACATCAGTTTATCAGGAGAACAGACAGTAGCAGAGACAGGAGCAGAGACAGGAGCAGAGGGAAGGAGGGACAGGTGCAGACAAGATACAGGGCAAATCCAGACCGTGAGGTTCTGTAATAGTTTAGTTGTGTGGTTGAAAGATCTATTTTTCTATTTAGAATGAACCAGAAACATTCCCACTAGTTCTGCATAAAGGTGTTATCATTTATCCAATTATGTATTCAGACCAAGTGGCTGGATCAGATAATGTGCGCTTATGAGACTTGAACTTCGACTGATTTAATTTTTCCCATTCAAATTAATTGAATTGATTAAATCTTTAATGGTCAACAGCTGAGGGGTGTAAAAATAATATATGTGATAAAGATATGATCTAACAGTGGCGGGCTAGCAGGCATTCGACAACATCACCGGATTCAGACCCGGTGATTGGATAGTCAGAGAGCAAACCAGTCAAAGCAGCAAACAGCATCTCTAAGTAGCGGCTACTCAGATCAAAATTAGTATTACTATGTATTACTATTATTAATTTCCAGTGGTGTAGTGGGGATTTTTTAAGTGGGGGTACTCGATTCCTGACTGAACCAGGACTGAACCAGGATTAAACCAGGTCTAAACCAGGTCTAAATCAGGACTAAACCAGGACTAAGAGAGAGCAAGAGAGAGAACCCCAAGTTCACGGAGCAGGGTGTTCACAAAGTGCGATCAAGCAATGGCTGCCCTGAGCCTCGTGGGGTGTGCAGCTCTGTGCCACTCCTTTTCGCCTGCGGTCACTCACGTCTACGCGGGCACACCTTCGGGCCCGTCCCGACGTCTTGGTTTAGTTCTGGTTTAGTCCTGGTTTAGACCTGGTTTAGACCTGTTTTAGTCCTGTTTTAGTCCTGATTCAGTCCTGGTTTAGTCCTGGTCCCTCATGTTGCAGGTCACTGTAGGACAGTACTGGAGATATCAGTGTTTCCTGCAGCACTTTACAGTTAAAGCGGCTGCCTTGACAAAAAGTGGCCCCAGCCTTGACTACCTCTCTCCGAACCACGTGAATCCTCGCAAAAGTACGGTCTTCGCATAGAATCTCCACTTACTCCGCCACTGGGTTTATGTACATGAAGGGTTATTGCCAATGCTGTTTCATGTACAGTACACAGTGTTATGAATTATGCATATGACTTTATCTTTGTTCTGTTGTTCATAATGTTCAAGTGACAAGTGTAAATGAAGAATGTGATGGTGAAACAGATACTTTGTGTAGAGTTTATCATCTATTTCAAGTATTGCAAGTGTATTTGTGATTTTTTAAACCAAGGTTCAGGTCACAGTGCACATTTTAAACATGTCCAAGAACATTCATGTTTGAGAAAAGACTGAAATCTCAACTCATAAACTAAAACTAAAACTCAGAACATATTTGTAGATGTTTAAACTACAGGGTGAGCAGTTTTTACTCAGAATAAGACCCCATGGAGACACAAGGACATTGTGCGATATAAAGAATAAAGCCCTAGAACATTAATCCTTCATATTTATGTCATGTTTGAGAGAATTTTAGATCTAAAAAATACAATATTGTGAATAACTGAGGTAATAAAATCATTTCTTCCACAAGTTTTGCTGAATAGTCAGGGCCTTGCTGAGACCACTGCTATAAAGCATGCCTGCAGGTGTTGTGCCCTCTACAGAAATGTTACGGAGTGCTACTTTAAGAGAGAAAAATACATAAAAGAAAGATAATAACAATATTTTGGGGGATGGTGAAATTTTTATTTATTTTTTGAATGCATTTGAATAAAGGCGCTGTGTCCTCTGTGAGTTGATGTGATCCTCGTTTGGTCCATGGGAGAAAAAGGAGTCGCAGGTTTCATCTGAACAGTTTTTGAAATGGAAACGCTTCAACTTCCATTCGGCATTTGACTCTTAAAATGAGCTCTGGATGGAAGTGAAACGTCTCATCTCAAGTGTCCAGTGACCTTTGACAGCCCTCTCTACCACACAAGTGACTCTTAAAGGACATAGGAGGCGCTGTCTAACAGGGCCTCTTCTTGGGCTTGTCCCACTGTGGAAAGATCCGAGCCAGAACAGTTTTGGGACGTTCCTAAAGGCGCTGAGACGAAAGTTCAGATGTATCATGGCGTCTTTCTGGAAGTCTGTGGGATCTGGTCCCAAAGCCATCACCAGGAGCTTGGAGACAGAGCCGTATTCATGGATCAGGTCACTGGCTGCAGCTTTGCCCAGCTTCTTTATGTTTTTTGGGTTTGATGTGAACTTCAGCTGGGACTTTGAACTCATCCTGGACTCTGGTCTTCTCCAGAATATGCACTAATGCATCGAGGTGGGACCTCATTTTGGAGGGCAGCTCTTGCAGCAGTTTTTTGATCACACACTCTGTGACACTTGACAACAAGTGGCCCCCGCCTTGACTACATCCCTTCAACCCATGTGAATCCTTGCCAAAGTACAGTCTTCGCATGGAATCTCCCCAGTATACCCCCCACTCCTCACTCTGTGCTACTACTGAAGACCTAGGTGTGAAATGCACGGTCCGCCACTGTGATATAATAATGTGATAATGTCAAACTCAAAAAGGGCCACTTTTGTTACCAATACTAAAATAATTTTTAAATACTTTTAGTTGTCGAACACATGTTGAATATTATTGTGTGTGTGAATCTTGTGTCTTTCCTGGACAACTGGAAGTTCATATCTTATTATAGTCCTGTTTAAGACCTAGTCTATAGTGCAAATTTGCTTAGGGTTTAATCCTGGACGAGAACCTTGCAAAACCAAACATTACATAAGGTGGAGCTTGGAGTGAAAACTTTTAAACACTGTATGATAGACTACTAAATGATACAAGAAAACATTAAAAAAAAAAAAAAAAAGATTTCACAGAAAAACTAAAATTTGTGACGTCAACAGGCCTCAAACTAATTGAGGGGGATGGATACATTTAATTAAATTATAATAGCGATATGTTAAAAGTTTGGGGTTATACGAGGAGAGGGCACTGACAGTGATTTGAATAAGCCTGCGACTGCTAAATCTATCTAACCTCTTTCGTAACTTTGGCTTTGAACTCTGAATGAATCATCAGATTAAAAAGTTAATACAATAATGCAACAGTATGATGTCTACAGTTTGTGCCAGTTTCCCGCCGAGTAATGAAGGCCTCTTGAAGAAAAGTGTAAAGGCAGGTCCTCAAATGAGAATTACAAAATAATAAGCATGTCAATTTAAGCATGTCAAAAATAAGCCATTAAAAACTTTGCATTATCATTGCAAAGAAACTACTTTGAAAGATCTTATATTACTGGTACACAAAATGGATTGTGAAATTTAAGACATGTTAGAATGTTGTCTTCTCATCACCAAACATAACCAGAGTTGTGTTTTCTTTCTTTCACACATTTGAGAAATCCATCAACAAAGCTCAAAATGCTCTGTCCAACTCGTGATATCATGTAGTGGTGGTTTTCAAGTTAACAGCTACCTTTCACCTTTTGTTGAGATTGGCAATTCTAGAGATGAAATTACCCAAATGATTTTAATGAACGTGTATGGTGTTTAAAGCACAGTGGAGCACTTCCTGAGTGTTTTCTGTTTAGGAGGAAAACTTACCCTAAGGTATGATAGGGTGAGTTCTCCTCCCAAAACATGATGGATGAGGAAACAACATCATAACATAATCAGTAAACAACGTAAAATGGACCCTTTAATGTCATGTTAGACCCAAGCACTAAAATGTAGCTACGGGACTTTGCCAATACATTTCACTTTTTTGAGTTCTGTATGATTTAATTATTTATTTTTTTATATACACTAAAGACTGAGCTTTATTGATCTTGTACAATTTATGTTGTAATCTACCTTTGGCTCAAGAAAAAATATTATGATTAAAATGTTAATTCATCATTTCACAGTTTGGTTATGATGTCAATAACTGTGTAAAATCATAAAATTGTAATGGCAATTCTCTTAATTACCGTAACCCTAACCCTAAACAAATTAATCAATACTCAATTTTCTGCTATTGTCCCTAGTTAAGATTAAATTAATGCTCTCTTTCAGTGGCTTTGAGAACTACAATAGCCCTACACTTGATATTCATCTGTCTCCTTCTCAAGATCAGAAAACAAAAACACGATCTATTGCTTTAGCAGCTATTGTTTTAGCCTTATGTGGTAGCCATAACAAAAAAAAAACTTGCACTAAGCTTTTAACATTTTATAAGCAAACGGTGCATTTTGACTTTTTGACCTCCAGGTTTCATAAGCTGTAATATTTGTAAAACTTTGATATTAATCTCTTTGGTAGCTCAGTTGCATCATCGGCTCTAACAGTAAAACAAAAATAATATGTCAACATAAGCTGCCAGCATTTGGTTTGTAATATGTCTGCATGCAGGGACTGGAATACTGATTTTACTTCAGATGCCCTTCGACCTAATTATATGGGTTCACAATTCTATTATATCCTTTATTCTATGTTGATTTCTTATGATGAGGTACTTGCTTGTTTAAACCATTAAATTCTTACCACTTTGTATTAAAAACAATACATTAATTCAGTTTTTTACTCCAACTTTAGTCAAAGGCTTGTTTACCCATTTCATTGTTATAGTCTGCAAAATAATTGAATAGATCTCTTTGTATGGCAGTGTTTTGACCTCTCCTGTATCAATTCGTGTCTATTTTCTATTTTTGTCACTTCACCTTATGACTTTGCATGCTCATTAAAGCTATGCAAACATATTCTACCTTTAGATAATTTTAACGCCTTCAAAACAAAAATAAATTATTCAAGAAGGCTGTACATCACCAGCTAAACTTCTTCTCTACCTTGTTCTCCAACAGGTCACAGAGGCGCCAGACTAAAAACAAAGTCAACATTTGCATATTAATGAAAGCCAAATAATTTTCCTCTGTTCCCGAAGGTGTGCTTTAACCAATAGGTTTTTTGTTTGTGGCTTATTTGTATTCAGAAAACTGCAAGATCATTAGTTACACCAGGAGGCCTTGGCTTGCAGTAAAAGTCATACAGTGAGAGCCGCTGGAACAGCCCCACACAGAGCAATATGTTCAGAAATTAAACCTATTCACAAACTATTGAAGATGTTGCCCTTTTTGCCCCTGCATCATTGCTTTGTCATAATTACAGATGAATTCAATGTAATAAACAGGACAATTTGCATTAAGGGAAAAATGAGAAATGACAAAAGTGTACTGAAATAAAAAGAATATCGTGATTTGTTAAAAGTTGAATTCAGAATTTCTTAAAGTTGGACAATGGCTATTGCCTTGCCTTGAGTGTTACACAGCATGGCATTTAACAGATCCGAATGACCATGGAGATAAATAGGTGGCAACACCAGCTCAGGTGAAAAGTAATGTCTGTGGAGAGGTGAGTCCATTCAAAGCTACACAGTGGAACAGGGGTTGTTGCTTTTCAGAAGTGTGGGTGTTTTAACAACAGGAGGTTTATAAGGGTGCTTTGTTATTGCTGTGAAATTCCACTAAATGTTAATCTGCACACCTCTTTGTGAATCTGCATACTCTCCCCACCTCTTTGTGAATCTGCATACTCTCCCCACCTCTTTGTGAATCTGCATACTCTCCCCAACTCTTTTTGCATAAAATGCTTGCTCCACCTTTTCTTGTGGTCAGCTTTTTCCACAGACACCACCTGTGTCTGCTCATCGTCATGGAACTTTCAACCAATAAAGACATTACCACAGCAAACCAAATATGATTTTTTAACAATAGATGAGATGCAGTGTTTTATCAAAGGAGAGATTAATGAGAGAGCAGATTGGTGTTTTTTGTGAATGATCTTAAAACCAGTCAGAATGTTAAATATGGATGGTCAAGCAAATATTATATATTATAAATATTAAAGTAGAAAATACTCAAATAAATGTTCATATTCTGAATTCAAGTCATTTAACCCATGCTAGATATTCCCTTTTTACACTGTAATGTGAGGTAGAGGTTATATAACAGTCACCTGTGATTGGTGCTCCTCGTTCTTGTACACGCCCTCCACCTGCAGCAGGTTTTTGGCCACTCCCACACAAGGTAACCCTGACAACACGCCCAGATGACAAGCAAGACCGAACTCTGTCAAAAAAATGCAAAGGGTAACACAAACACAATGACATGTCTTGCTCAGTGTTTGACAAATGGCATGCAGGCATTATACAATGACTCAAGGTGTACACTACTGGAAGTTATTTATGACAGTCCATATGATATTTTTTTTGACAACTTAAAAGGTCCATTGCAAGTGACACCTCCTCCAGAAAAGTTGCGCAATGCACCTTTAAACAACTTAAAAAATGACAAAAACCAAACCATCGTGTACACTATGGCAGCAGAGTATTAAATTGTCTGAGGTTGCTTTTATCAAAGAAATTTCTGTGCAGGACTGAGCTGGCAGTGAGGGCCCTCAGTACAGCACAGACAAACAATTTCTCTAACAGTTGCACCAAACATAAGTAACCCACAACAGTCAAAAATGTATATGTGAAATAAGTCACTAAATAAATATGAACTTACATACATACACATAACAAAAATACTAACCCCTGTAATGGAAAATACCATTCCCATCCACAAACACCACCTAGACAAAGACAAAAAAGTTGTATTTTTATGTCAATTATATTCAAGAAAATGGTAATAACTAACAAAGTATCCTCCACCAAAAAATGACAGTGATTCTAAAAAATACATTCAAGCAAAATGATACTGAGTAGCCCAAAACAGATAAGATATAACTGATATTACAAGATTCAAAATGTCCCACCTGAGGCATGAGTTCTGGCTTGTTCTTTTCCAGCCTCTTCAGAGCCTCCACTAGAAAAGGTGTTTCTCTAAAGGCCAGAAACCCAGCAATGTATGGAGCAGTGAGGGCTACCATCTGACTGTCCTCGTACAAAACCTGCAAAACACAACATAATGGTCAAGTTCACCTGGCGTAACAAGCATTTTTCAACAAACTATCTCCAGCCCTTATGGTATTAACTGACCAAATGTAGTAAATAATATAATATAGTGGACACAAACAAGTTACACAAACGGAGCATAGGTGCAGACCCATTCCGATGACAGAAAACCTTTATTTTTTTCATTTCCAAAGTCATTCTCAACACTACTACCCATTACGCTTGCACCATTATTGTGTTGAAAAGCCTGAGGTAGCCGTGTTGAGAGTAAATTGAACACAAGCGGGGAACATAATCATATTATTGGACAGCGGTTCCAAACATTTCATTAGCCTTGTTGGAGCATGTGTCGCTGCAGTACCCTGACAAAAGCCATTTATTATGAGATATTACATAACAAGAGAGGCCAGGGGCTTTAATGTACAACTAAACAGGAGAAGATGAGGGTTTGTGGAGTCCAGCTATATGTGTTATAGAAAAATGAAAGCTTCTGGGGTTAGTGAAACAGGTGGTTTATTAAAATTAACCTTGATGGTGCTTGATTGAGTTAGGACACATATTTTGAAGGATACTTTAATATACTGTGTAACACAATATACAACTGAGATACACAGAATAAAAAATGCAGTGCATGCAGTGCACCATTCACCGCTATCGGTGATATGGTTTCATATCAGTATTGAAAAAAATCCTTTTATGGAAAATTTTTACACAGTTATCTTAAGAATATAAAAAAATACTATATAATAATCAGAAAAAAAATATTTTATTTTAAGTATTACAAAAACTAAAATTTCATTTATGAATCTCAATTGTACTAACATTAGGTTTAAAAATTACTGCATTTATGGTGACCCTTACTTATGCAACTCTAAATCTGTATTCAATCTGGATAAGATTTTGATGATTTTGAAATTGACAGACAGATTAACTCTAGATGAATTGGAAAAAACATCCAGGGCTACACAGCATCAGCCTATGGTCATATGCCTGGTCTGGACTTTACAGGGGTAAACATTATTCTGCAAAATTATTCTGGGAAAAATTTCACAGTACAAGTTCAAGTACATTTTTATTGTAAGCAGGCCAGTCATATTGATTTGGTGCATTCCTTTATAGTGTTCTGCGATTGTAGTTCCATTTAAAAACAGCATCTCTGATCTTTTCTAACTCTTTCTAAAATGGCAGTGCTCACCTCCAGTTGTGGGTAGCTGAGGACCACCAGCTGGGCACATGCGTTCACATCGTCCCCTTTGATGAAAGACAGGTCGACTCCACCTACTCGCTCCAGTCCTGAGAAATCCGTAGTTTTCTGCCACTGCTCCGTGTCCTGCTCCACCACCAGCTGACGAAGGCACTCCTGCTCACTGCATATAACAACAGAAACTATGGTCATGGGCTCATGGCTGAGGATATGAGATGCAATACATGTAAAAAGACTGTGATATTAGGCCTTCCAAATCTATATTTAGGGCTGCACCAATCCATCTTTTTCAGTTTCGATACAGATTCCGATACTATGGCTTTAAATATGACAGAGACTGAAAACAGCATTTATTTTTTTTATTACAATTTATAACTACTTACAGAAAAAAAAAATCCAAATGCAAATGTTATGTAGCTGTTATTTATCTCTCAATTAACTACAGAATAGCTTTGAATAAATAAAATTTCAAACATTATGAGACTGTCTGGCTCAACTATGACCAGTAAATAGTCTTAAAATTCAATATCCGATCGAGCACATTTTTTTCAGTATCTGTTGTTCCATCTAAATCCTTAATAGCTAAATAAAATTATTAGTTAATTAATACAAATTTTGGTTGGACGCCCTTAAATTAGTCGACTAACTGACAAGAGCTACAATACAAACTCAATACATCACTCATGATACAATATTATAACAATATGGATACATGCAATAATCGATATATTGCACATTCTGCAAAATATCACTATTTTTAAGAACCAAATACATTTAACAACAGTATTTATTTGTTAAACCACTGCTTGTGCAAAGTCATGTTTAAATCATGCTGTTGTTTCATATTGTAATCACTAACACTAACACAAGATTTGGCTACATCTTAAAACATTATTACTTCCCTCTCTCAGCAGCAGGTACACACATGGCAGTGAGCATACAGATGACAGGCAGCATATGGGCCATAATACAGAGTCATGGAACCATAGCTGGCCTCTTCATCACAGTCTCACAAATCAATAGTTTCTAGTGGCACCAGTCCAGAGTCACAGACAGAGTTACAGCAGCAGTGGGAGAATGGAGAGGAGACATCTGCTTTAGCCGTATGCAGCTACACAAGGCCAATGTCAAGGGCCGAAGAGGGCTACAATATGGCCACACTGCATACAAATTATGAGCAACTTTGGGAATAACTTTGGTGGTCGGCAGATGTTCCTATTTAACATGGGCAGTCTGAGTTTCAGGCTATTTGTCACATATTTGTATTGAAAATATTACTGTCACAAAGTTCAAAGTTGTGCTCATCTATTCTGGGTGTGAGCTTCAAATTGAGATGCACTGACAAAAACAAATAGCCTACATTTACTTTAATACATTAAAATTATATATATGTGTGTGTGTGTGTGTGTGTGTGTGTGTGTGTGTGTGTGTGTGTGTGTGTGTGTGTGTGTGTGTGTGTGTGTGTGTGTGTGTGTGTGTGTGTGTGTGTGTGTGTGTGTGTGTGTGTGTGTGTGTGTGTGTGTGTGTGTGTGTTTAGTGTTGGGCTCCACTGGTTTAACATTAGGGTAACTGAAAATGATGTGATGCAAGACACTGACATGGCAGTAACATTTTGAGGGCTTTTCATTATTCAGAACATAGGCTAAATATTTCGCTTGAAATTGTCATCATCATTATCATCATTCTGAAAACTATGAATAGGTGATATCTTGAAGACTTGAGGCCCATTTTAAAGATAATATCCACGTTTTAAATTAAGTTGTTAATTTAATTAAATTTTCAGCACTCTGAAACCCATAGATAAGAATACACATAAACTTAAACTCTTTTGTTCAACTTTTTCAGATGCTCAAAGTTGCTTTAGAATGATGTGCCTTACTCTTCATTTCCCACACAAAAAGTGTATGTTATACAAACAAGCTAAATTGGTGAAGTGTCTTGATCAAGGACACAATATCAGTATGCATTAATAGGGCTGAAATCAAGACAGACTTTTGGGTTGGCGGGAGACCGCTCTAAACAAACCATGTATAGTACTACTGCATAATGTGCCATAATGATCCATGTTCAAGTACCAAAAGCACTAGAGATAAATGAAATGGCTAGCTCGTGAGTAATGTTAACGTAATTCGGCAGGGACTTGTTTAATAGTACAAATCAGCTCACCTGTTCCAACATTACTGCTAGCTGTTAATAAATCAGGTTTCCAGTTAGATTGTGTTAAAACAAAGCTCTGACTAAAGTCTAGTAGACTAAATGTAGTCGCTAGATAACATGGTTAAAAATAGTGAGTCGTCCTTACCTCTTCCACTGTTGCTCCAGTTCTTCTGTGTGGAGAGCAGACATCAGTGTCGCTTTGTGAATCTACAATTTTGTTAAAAAATAAACCTTTTAAAATCCATAAAATCCACTGGCATATGAAAGCATGTCGGTGTTGTCTTCCGGGTTTGACGTCACAAGAGGCGGGCTCAAATGTTGCCAGAGAGCAGTGCGGTGTAATGCTGCCCTCTGGTGGAAGAGATCAAATTCACACTTATGGGCCAGAGACCGTTCTAAAGCTTTTCTGTTTTGTTAAAAAAGTAATAGGCCCATATTATATATTGTATTTTCTGATCTGTTATGTTTTTTACGCATCAAAACCAAAAAATACCCAGTTGTGTTTTGTATTAGTTCTTCTCTCAAAAGAAAACACTCAGATCCACCTTGTGACGTAGTAATACAGGATGAACTCCACTGTGTTTTTAAATTTCATACACCAGGCATGTCCAAACTATGGCCCCTGGGCCAAATGCGGTTCTCAGACAAATTTTTCTTGGCCCTCAAGCTTCCAGGTGAATTGGCCCAAATAACCTTGCATCAATTAAAAATGAACTTTTTACTGGAAGTTTTTTGAAAATCTATTTAATATTTAGTGTGTGGTTTTAAGGATCTTAGCATGAATAAAGGACTGATGGCTCATTCTAACATGTTAAACATGCACATATTTCAATTATTCACTGTATTGAGCATCAGTCTATGGCCCTCGATCAGCCCTCTGCTTCGTCTGTGTTTAGATATGTGGCTCTTGATGAAAAAAGTTTGGACACCCCTGCCATACACCTTCAGTAGTATCATTTGAATAATTTCAGCACAGGAATTGCAAATCTCTACTGAACAAAAGGTAAAAGATTGCTGTAAACTACATCTTCTTGAAATCACAAGGTAGAACAGAGGATTTTGATCTTGGAGATGTAGCCAAACTAACAATAAAGCTTTACTAAGACGTGTAAATGAAACAATGGAGACAACAACAATCTATTATCCCAATTATACAAGAAATGATGATGAAAAAGAGTTTATTTTTTCAAAGTTCAAGTTTAATATTTTCAAAAATGTGAAGGCGCCATTTTATTATTTATTTCAAACAAATACTTTTTACACAATTCCTCAAATCAAGGTAAAGATATGCAAAGATGTTGAGAGAAGCAGAGAGACAGTCAAAGACACCACAGTAATAGCCCTCATCTGGAAATAATGAGATTGTTGTCCAATTGTTCACATGTAGACTCTTGAAATGTTAAAGTTCTTTAAATGAGAATAAAAGTATAACTGGTGGAAAGAACATTTTGTGTGTTGAAAATAGTCCTTTTTATGAGAAAAATTTAACAAAAATGATAACTTGAAATCAGAAACAACTGTTGCTGCAGATTAACGTCAGCTTCCATTCAAAATTTGTTACAGAAAGGTTAATCCTGTATACTCAACCAAGCTCCATAGACATGAAATAATTTTAAAAACGGTTTTATACACACAATATACAGGCATTTATCCTGCTGTTTACAACATTCAGCTTTATCGATCATCACACACACAGTAGCCCTCAAAACATTTTTAAATAAAGCAATTTATATTTTAATTTACTCAAATTTTGTTTGTTTTCAATGAAAAGATCCATCAATTTATTTGGTAACTGACAACTGAGACATTTAAACAGACAGGCATATGAACGCAAAAAGTGCTACGTCACAAAATTTGAATTGAAAAGTCTACTTCTTCTCATGAAAACTCATTCAAACTGTATTTCTCAGTTTTATATAATTTAAATTTTATACTTAAGAGTGGACAATTTCAATGTGTAAAAGTAATCATGTAAATACATTTTGCAACTACTGTGTACTAGTACCCTAAATCAACTAATTTTAATGTTTGAAAGGACTTTTCCTGAATATTTTACTTTGCTGATGTGCCCCTTTGAGTTGTGCCTTGTCTCCGTAACCAAAGAAATGTATAACTACTCCTACTATGTAACAGTTTTGGTTTCAAACCGTATTTGATGCATTAGAAATGAGCCTGCTGTTCTGTCCAGCCTCAATCTGGACAGTTGAAAAAGCAAATTTCTTAGCTTTTTAAAAAATTATTTTACAAAAGGCTAAAATGGTATAGACACATGGCTCTTAAATGGCTGCAAGTATTTCTAAAATCTTATATACTACCCCAACTCACTTCACCCCATCAAGTACTCCAAAAACAGTAACACGATTGAAAGCATTACAGTATCAATATATTATGACTGGCGCTCCCTCATGACAAAGTAACATTCTCTCCAAAAAGACAAATATAAGCTATAATATCAATGTAAAAGTAATGTTCAACAATGGCAGTTCATATCTCTCCGAACACTCCCATTTCAGGCAATTCAAATATTAGAAAATCCTAATCACTAGCACATTCAAAATTCAATATTATCAAGGCATCTTTCTTGACCACTTTAGTTCCTCAACCTCACAAAAAGCAAATGTCTTCTGAGGGATGCAAGAGACAAAAGCAAGTAATGATAAATCTGGCTCAGTTTTACTTTCAAATAAACTCCAACCAAGCACCCATAAAATATCCTACTTATATACTCTACAAATATTTTAATGATAAATAGATTTTTTCACAAGTAGAAACGTATTGCTTCTAGTAGATTACAATGTTAAGAGTTTAGAAGACATAGGTGTTTCTCTAAAGTTGACTAACAAGACAAAATGGCCTCTGGTAATCTTGAGGTTGCCTGAATGATTCTTGTTATAAAATATACAGTTATCAACCCAAGTTTAAACACTAATTCTATGCTTACACTTGTACTAGAAACACTAGATAAGCAAAGATGGTATGACAATATATGGCAAATACACTGAATTTTTGCAAGGTCCGTAAATGTAACAGCACGTCCAGTCTATTCAACGCATGTGGATGAGGTCTGCGTTGTAAAAAGTGCTGTATGTCTGTACAAATGCATAAACGTAACAGCGCCCTCCAGTGGTTTCCATCCAATCTTGAATGAAATATTGCTCTATACAGCTTTCTCGCCTCACATAAACATTCTGCCTATGTTTGGGTTTAAAATGTGGCCTAACAATGATGCCAGGCACGAAAAATATATGACCTTTGTGCAAAAATGAGCCCTTTGAATCTGTACAGTATTTTTTGTCTTTGTCTCTGAATGAATCTGTTTTTCTTTGTTTTGTGCAAGCATGCTTTAGTTCCCTTAGAGACTGACTGTGCAATAAGGAACAGATGCAGGGTAATAGAACAGGCTGACGGTTGGAGAATGGAGGATTATGGGAATTGTAGTCCTCCTTATGCCTGCTTCTACCTGGAGATCATGGAGCTGGATTGTGATTGGTTGGATGAGGTGGTAGCGGCGCTCAGCTGAGAGAAGCCACTGTGGCTGGACTCCAGGCTGGTCATGGATCCCCTGAAAAGAGCACAGAATACTATTGAGAATGTTTTACAATTGTACAGTATTAATAATAAACATCAAACTACCATCCCCATAGCAACGCAAACACCTGCTAGTGGCTAAATGTACATCTATCTGTGCCCAGGATGCATACACCCAAAACATGCTTCCATCAAACCCCACAGGATCAACTCAGTGCTCAGGCTCTGCCATAGGCTGCAGCACCCATCAATGTCAGGAAGACAACTTACCAAGCCCAGTACCAAGAATTTTTTCTAAATTGGTGACCTGTGCCTCCTTTGTTTATTTTGTATGCCTCATTGTTTATTTGTTACTATTACATGTTATTATTATTTTTATATTTAGGAAATAATGGAAGTTTGTCTCCATGTTGGTTGATTTAAAAAGCATCTAGTGTGGTAACATGCTTATAGGCCTTGCTGCCTATGGCAAAACATGACACCATTGGTTATTTTGAGTTAAACAAGGGTCATGTTTTATGCTGGGTATTTATCAAAATATAGCCACATACATGTTAACTTATTTCAGCAAATCTTCCAGTTAACTACACCACAACAAAATATGTACTACAGCAATACTATAATAAAGGTATTTTCAAATTCAACACATCTACAATATCAGATAAGTGATAAACAATTGAAAAAAAAAAAAATAATAAATAGTTTGATAATGCAAATGAATGGGTGTCAACATGAAAATTAAACATGATGGTGAATGAATATGTAAAATGTTAAGTTTGTGTGACTTTTCGACCTAATATAGATTTTATTAGTCCTCATGCAAGCAGAATGAAGCCAGCCTGTGGGTGGTAGATAACTTAAGTGTTATTCTCTGTGATCAGCCAAAACAATCTGTTAGGCAGTGCTCAAAATCCATTAGCAAATTCAGATGCAGAAAAGGCATCTCTTTGCTCTGAAGCAGGTCTGCCATAAAAAGCATTTGTTAAAAAAAGTCAGCGGCCAAAAGCAAAAAATGGCTTCAGCAAGGAGCTAAAAAGGGAGAGGGGCAAACACGGTCCACTTACAAACTTCGCACATCACAGCAAGCCGTTCTTCAACAGGAAGAAGACAGAGCAGGAGGGGGTTGTAAGCAAATTGGACAGAAAAAGCTGATTAAAAGAAAACTCAACAGCATCCTCAATTCAGCTCTAAAAAGAATTTCTAAGGGAGCTGTTCAATATTTAACATCACAGATAAATCAAATAACGTACGAGGGCCAGAGGGAGAGATTGTAGAAAGAAAAACTGAAAGAATACAGCAGTGAAAATGAGCAATCTAAAAGAAAGAGTGCTTAAAACACCAACACTATGGTCACACGCCACTTTATGACAAAATATGATTGAATTTAAACATTTACACCGAATGAAATGTTCAGATATGTTTTGAACAGAATTTAAAAAGTACCAACCTGAAGTCCTCAGAGCCCAGTACTTCTGTGTAATACATGACTTTACACTTGTGGGAGGAGACCTGCAGCGTGGCCAAAACGTCGTCCACTCGGGGCAGGTTGGTGGCAGAGCAGGCCGGCATGTTGTGGAACTTCCACTGCAGGATGTAGAAACCGGGCCACCGTGTGATATGTGAGCCCTGAGCAGAGGGGAAGACAACAAACATATCATGAGAGGGTGTAATATGGATTTATCAAAGGGGACATATTACATACAAAATTAAGTTTTAAACATGTTCAACACTTGCTTATCCCAAGTTTTTGATACATATTCCACATGAAATATTATCATCATTATCATTATATATTATTATACAACACTGTGTAGAAAACTTCAGTGCTTTCTGTTTGTGGGCTCAGACCTGCACACTCTCGCCCTCCTTGCAGGTGAGGGGGGACTCCACCATGCTGTAGTCCTGGCCCATGGTCCAGGACTTGTCTATGAGCTGCACATTGTTTCCTCCGGGAGATGTGATCCCATGGGGGTCCTTACGAGGGGCCTGAGGGGCACGCTTGGAGTGGAAGATGTTAAAGACCACATCTCCTTTACACACATCGAAGTCCCAGGTGATGACAGAGGAGGCATCGATGATCTCAATAAGGATCTACAGGCACAAGTTCAAATGTGGAGGGGAGAGAGTGAAGAGTTATTGTTCATTTTCTTTGTAAAGTGCATTGTAAATGTAAAATGATTTGTGTATCAGTGGCTGAGATACCAAATTAACAGCATTTGTATCAGTGGGTAGACATGGTGACATGTGTACATGTATAATGAATTTTATAATGACTATCTCTTTAATTTTTGTCTTTGCCACATTAGTTTACCATTTTTACATAATTTTCCTTGACAGAACCTGCACAGGTGAGAACAACGAGAAATATTTCGTTTTCTTTCTCACATCAGATTTAATTGTTTACATAACTAATATTCTGTTAAGTCCAGAAATCAGATAATGAAAACATATTTGATGTGTATGGAAACATAGTCAAGAAATTCTTAGATGGTCAAAATCTACAACATAATGATTGAACGGAATGTTCTTATAACGCCATAAATGTTGTGAAAAGTATAAGACTGAACTTGATATTGGCATTC